GTGGGAAGAGGGAGGGAAACGGTGGGAAGAGGGAGGGAAACGGTGGGAAGAGGGAGGGAAACGGTGGGAAGAGGGAGGGAAACGGTGGGAAGAGGGAGGGAAACGGTGGGAAGAGGGAGGGAAAAGGGTGGGAAGAAGAGGGAAAAGGGTGGGAAGAAGAGGGAAAAGGGTGGGAAGAGGAGGGAAAAGGGTGGGAAGAGGAGGGAAAAGGGTGGGAAAAGGGGGGGAAAAGAGGGTTGGGATATCAGGAGATACAGCCAAGAGAGCAGGAAAGTTGGGTGGAAAGGCTGAGAGAGTCAGGAAAAATGACCAAGAGAGCTGGGAAATTGGGAATAACGATGGAGAGAGCCAAGAAATAGAGCCAAGAGAGGCAGGAAATTGGGAAGAACCACCGGGAGATCTGGGAAATACAGCTAAGAAAGTCCAGGAATGGGGAAAACCAGCCAAGAAAATCAGGATAAAACAGCCAAGAGAGCCAGGAGAATCTGGATATTTGGGATGAGAGTCACATTCCCACTTCCCTGGGAGAACAGGAGCCCGGGACCCACCCCACGTTTCCTCCTTCCACCTGGAGCTTTGGATGAGCGTCCTCACCTCCGTTATTCCCCCCCAGAAGAAGGAAGGAAAAGCCTCCCACCCATCCCAGGAGGAATTCTGGCATCCCAGGAGGAATTCTGGCATCCCAGGAGGAATTCAGGCACCCCAGGAGGAACGTGGAACCCCCTCCCCAGCACCCACCTCCTGGTGCCAAGGAAGGAATCCTCCAATTCCCGTCGGAGCAGCTCGACGACGGCCGAGATGACGGCCTGGATACAGGATTTGTGGGATCTTTCCTGGGGGAAACGTTGGCCCAAGAGGTCCCGGAAGCTGAGGAGGGGGAAGGGCCAGGTGGCCACCAGATCCTGCAGCACCAGGGTCCGCCCATCCTGGAATGCTGCTTGGAAAAGGACGGGATAGAGCTGGGGGGGGAGGAGCCGCAGGGCGCGGCGGGCGCTGGGGCCGTGGGCCAGGAGGCGGCGGGCGCAGAGGGAGAGCAGGGCTTTCCCAGGTGCAGCCCTGGGATCATCAGCCCTGGGATCATCAGTCGTGGAATCAGTCATGGAATCAGCCATGGAATCACCCAGGGAATCAGCCATGGAATCAGTCGTGGAATCACCTGTGGAATCACCCAGGGAATC